GCTTCTTTCTACTATGGTACTCAATCAATTTACGTCGCCTTAGTGTACATATGACTAGTTTGTTGCTACAGTAGCAACAGACCCAGCAATGAAGATGACGAGAAGCAGAAACGCAGACAAACCCAGCGAGGTTAGGCAGACCAAAATGATCAGTATCAGACCAGATTACAACTTGATCACCTTTGCGATAACACAAAAAAATCTCATAACTATTAACAGTTAACTGTGTGTCTTTAGCTTTAACATACAATATGCAAAATTCAATTTGCATTAATATAAATTACGGTGTTACACGGCGATTACACTATTCGAAGAAATCGAGATTTTATACAACTGGACCAGAACCTTTCTGTTAAATTTAAACTGCTACAAAAAGAAGCAATTGCCGAATGGATCAAGTTAAATGCTCGTACTTTGTGGAACCGCAAACTTGGACATAAGAAGGCAGAAGTCACAATCAGCCAAAAAAGCCACCCAATATACAAGTGATTGTACGTCAAGATTTGGTACGTTCTTGGTGGTAAATATACAGCGCAATAAGTAAGAAATTCATTTTAATTTTAATATAACTTTATATTTACTTCATAATCGATGTGTAAATTTCAAAATATTTTGATCCGGGTCGTCACAAACATTATTTTTTAATGTTTCAACGTTCATTTGACAGAAGAAATATGAAAATTTCAAATTCCAATTAAGAAAATTAATATTATATTATTAATCTAGAACGACTGCCAATCAGTAGCTTTCTCAATAATGCCCGTAATGTTACAATCAAAAATTGAAATCTAATCACTGCTTGTACATAATACATGAAAATAATCTTGTATAAACAAGAATCTTGTATATAATAGATGAAAATAAATGAAGTCAAGTCAATTAAGAAATCATTTAAATTGCGTTTTTATTTATATTTTATACTTCATTCTATAATTATTTAACATTCCAGGAGTGTCATACTGTTGCGTGTGTAAATCTTTTGTAATGTTAAAGAAACTCAAAGGTATTTTGCATAGACAAAGATTTTTTCAACTTTCATTTTTTTTTTTTTTTTTGATGTAAATCAATAATAATTTATTTTTAAATGAATATTAGCGTATAACAACGTACCTTTTATTGAATATAGATATTTTACATTTTATTGCACGTGATATCATAAGATATCAGAAATAAAGGGTTTTCTGAAGTTCACCTTAAGTAAGTATACATAGTGTTAGTATTCTCCCTCCTAGTAACAGATCAAATTTCTCCTTATTAATAACTCTTGCTGAGTGTTGCAGTTTGTCAACGTTGATGAACAAACATGAACAAATAAAATCTCAAAACACAAAGCGTTTGGTAAGAAAGAGTACGACCAACCGATAAATAATGTTACAACCTTATCAAAAGCACATTTGGCGAGTTTAACCATATAAAAATCTTAATCGGTAAAATTGGACTAATGATGATGTACAAGGTGATGTAAAATTCGGCCGAAGAAAATAACTACTCAATTCATTTTTCAGACTATTGTGTACAATCTCAAGCTATGAGAAATTTAATAAATATTTGTATTTTTATAAAACAAATTTGTAAATTGATATGCAGAGTAATTCGATGTTAGATCCCATAATAAAATTGGGTAATAGGAGATAAAAATGGGTTTTCGTACCAACTCCGTGAAAAAAATGAATTCGGACAAAACCTGATTTGTCCACAAAAAAAAATTTATTATAAAAAAAATAATATTAATAAAACAATCGCCGTTACGTATGCAATTTTAATCAAAATTGAGGTCTTAAAAGGGTTCAGATTTTAAAATGTATTTTAAATGTCCAAAAAAGAGTCATTACTGGACCTTTTCAGTACAATTAAGAACGGTTTCGTTGGCGCAAACTTATACAATTTAAAAACTGATAGATTTTAGAAAAAATTCACTGAAACAAAACTTCCTACATATTAAAAAATTTCACAAAAAGTGCGTCATTTAATAAGCATTCATATGGTTTGTTCAAAAGGATTTGTGTGTTTTTGAGGAGTACGGTGGATCAAAAAGTGGTGCTTCTCGAAGTGCATTCCATTAGTATTCACCACTACCTAGCACATCAAACATTGTAATATCAAAAGTTAAAAATTCTTGCATTTGTTACATTCACATTATACATTGGACTAAACTTTGGTTTTTATATGATGTTTTAATAGCGTCAAGATCGGAAGGAGAACATAATCAGCATCTAAATACAGCACTAGAAATATTACAGAAATTTTGATTACGTATCAATTTGTCTAAATCTTTGCTGTAAACGAATTTTGATTTTTGGGATACCTTATAAGTGCACAAGGAACAAGACCTAACGTAGCTTAAGTTTAAGCCATCATAGATGAGCTACGAGACACAGTTCAGATATTCAGAGCATTTTTCGGAATTCACTTGTTTTCGTGGTCAGCTTGACCAATTAATATCTTTCAATTAATTAAGGTTTTGGAATGATAATTTTTTATAAACAGTCAGGCCATTCTTAATGAATATTTAAATGAGCAAAGAAAAATGATCGCGTCGAAATTGTGGAATGAAAAATTTCACAAAAATGCCTCATTTAATAAGCTTTGGAATCGTACAGTTGTTGGTTGGATCGGTACATCCTTTTTTCCAGGTTGAACGTAGATCAAACCCTCGACGTGTATCATAGTAAAAATCAAGGTTTCGAGCGATGGGAAAGAATTAATGAAAAATAGAATAGAACAGATTAAAATTAAAATTAAAAACAAATTAAAAATATCCAGTGAAACTTGTTGGTTCATTCCTTACAAATTTTAGCACTACTGCATCATGTGCATTCTAATACTTCTCACGTATTGTCTAGTCCTTCTAGTCTTCCTTATCTCTTTCATTGTCACATAGAAAATTAATTCTTGCAGATTTTGGGCTGCTTTATACACTTTTACTATTACATTATACACTTTTGCTCTTGTATGACTGACATTCTAAAATTCAACACTTTTCCTGATGAGGAAACAAAAATTCAAAACCTTTTTGCCGTTTTCATTCCATTTAATATTTATTTTTAATTTTAATCTGTAATATTTAGTTTTTGATGTAATAAAAACTTCTGTGCTCGACAAATTATCTTTTTTTTGCTTAAAATCTTTGATTTTTTCGGGTGAGGATGTTTGATTTACCGTACTCCTCCAAAATGGAATCTTATCAAGCATCCCATTCAAAAGCTTATTAAATGAAGCACTTTTTGTGAAATTGGTCATAGAAAATTTTGTTTCAGCGTAGTGAATATTTGAAATTATTCAAGGATCTTCCAATATCTAAATTTTACAGGTTTGTGCCAACTAAACAGTTATCATTTGACAGAATGGGTTCGGTACTTAGATAATTTATAGTAGATTTTAAAACATACCTCAATTTTTATAAAAAGGCATATAACGGAGAAAACACTTTTTTTGCGTGGCAAAACCTTTTTTTCGTAAAAAATATATCTTCTCGATGGAATGAGTTAAAAACTACGTTTTTCCGGCATTCTACCCACCTACAGGCTATCATCACCTGCATCTCACAACGAACCACCCTGTATTTTTGAAATCTTGGATCGTGAAAATAAGGTTTTTTCTCCTTTTGTTTGCTGGTTTAAATCTCTTTTTCATTAATATATATTACAAATACTAATTTTTCCAGAGTTCCTAAAAAAAAAACATTAAATACACCAGGAAATAAGAAAGATCGAAGACAGCACGAAAGCAAATTATTTATAGGTTTTTACCAACTATCTAAACTCTATCAGTTAGCAGAAAGGGTTCGGTAGCTGACTACTTAGATAATTTAAAGTCGATTTTAAAACCTACCTCAATTGTTATGAAAAATGTATATAACGGAGAAAGTTAGCAGAAACGGTTCGCTAGATGACGACTTAGATAATTTAAAGTACATTTTAAAACCTCCCGCATTTTTTATTAAAAATTCATATAACGGAGAACACGTGTTTGTTTGTGTGTGTGTGTGTGTGTGTGTGTGTGTGTGTGTGTGTGTGTGTGTGTGTGTGTGTGTGTGTGTGTGTGTGTGTGTGTGTGTGAGTGAGTGTGTGTGTGAAGTCCATTTACAGGCTAATACCAGCCAATTTGTTTATTGCGCCTCACATCGAACCGCCCTGTATATTTGAAATTTTGGATCATGAAAATAAGATTTTTCTTCTTTTTTTGTTATTTAGAAATCGTGAGATGCGTCTGGTGTGATGTAGGTTTCAGAAAAACATTTTCTTTATCGTGCCAACGTTTCGATCTTTATTGAGATCATCTTCAGGGCTCAAAGTGTTTGTCTTCTGTGTAATTGGGTCATTCTTGGGTGTCGTGTCGAGAGTGCCACACGACACGCAAGACTGACACAATTACACAGAAGACAAACACTTTGAGCCCTGAAGATGATCTCAATAAAGATCGAAACGTTGGCACGATAAAGAAAATGTTTTTCTGAAACCTACATCACACCAGACCGCATCTCATGATTTCTAAATAAATATCGATTAACGGTCACTAATCACCACACATTTTTCTTCTTTTGTTTACTGGTTTGTATCGGTTTTTCAATAACATATATTACAAACATTCATTTTTTCCTGAGTTCCTGGAAAACACACTAAATACGCCAGAAAATAAAAAAAGCAAAATATTTTGTTGTATGTGTTATATAAAATTGACACAAAAATTCTCTCGCATTTCATTATTCAAATCAATATGTTTGTACATTCTATTGAAACATTAATCTATTTTTCTCAAAAATACATTAAGACAATTAATGTGAACAAGTACCTGCACCTCCATACAAATTTAAGACACAATGTAGACAACCGCACTATGTACAAAACCATGATAAATATACTTATATAAAAAATATATATAGCTGTTTAAATTTGTTTTTAAAAAAAGTATTATATACCATGGTACAATAACAATATCTTTTCGTTGCAAATTAATCATGGGATTTTTCTTTGTAATTAAATAAAATTAATAATGGATACCTTGTCTACTGTGCCTATGTTGTATCTGCGGAAAGTACAGATGCATCTGTGATTTGGACATGTCCAGAGGCACCATTTCCTGGTGGTGCTGGTGTTGCACGTTGGGTGGATCGCCTCTCTTCAGGATGTCCATTATCGAGAAGGGTGTGCACTTGTCCTTCTGTTCCACCTTCTCCACCATCCTGCATTGTCTAACAAAACCCGGAATCTGACTGGAAGCCGGGATTTTCGACGAGGCGGGCCAGGCGAAAAAGCAGGGGGTGGCTGGAGAAGGCCAATGAAGTCTGGCCGGCAGCTAAGCCGCGCCCATCCGCCAATAAGCATCATCCACCCACTGCGCTATGTTTGCTTCCATCCGGCTAAGAGTCACTTTTCTGGAGGAGTTGCTCGTATCACATCGCTTTTTTTATCCAGTTGTCGACGACAAACTTGGCCGGAATGTTTGATGTAATAATAATTATAAAGTTAATTTGGTATAAATGCAAATACAACATGTCTACAACATAGACTAAAAAAGTTAATCCAAATCCGTTTTCTCATTATCCTCAGGTAGATCTCTCAAAAACCACTCATTATAAAAAAAAATTATTTTTTAGCATAAAGTCTACTTTCAAATATTGCACTATTTATGTTTCCTTCCATCCGGCTAAGAGCCACTTTTCTAGAGGAGTTACTAGTATCACATCGCTTTTTTACCCAGTTGTCGTTATTATCACGACAAACTTGGGCTGAATGTTTGATGTAGTAATAATAATAATAATAAAGTTAATTTGGTACAACTGCAAAAACAACTTTCAGGTAGATCTCTCAAAAACCACTCAACATAGAGAAAAATTATTTATTTTTTTGCATAAGCTCTATTCCAAACATTGCAGTAATACATGTATCAACTTAGTAGTCATAATTGCTATATTAATTATACATTTCATTTAAGGTCATTGGTGAGATAAAAAGTATAATTCATTTAACTAATTACAGTGTTGATGTTTTCAATTTCTTTGGAAAAAATGTATAAAAACTTTTTTCACATTATAATCTACAGTTCAATTTGCAGATTCATCAAGTTCATTCGATTTTATGATAAATGGCGAAAAACATTTGGAAATCGGTTCAGAAAAACGGTTAGATAATGCAAAAGCTAGCACGTTAAGTGCATATATTGGGTTGTCCGGAAAATAATGCAGGATTTTAAGTTTTCATTAAAAAAAATCTATATAAAATATTCTGTTTACGTTTACAGGATTACTCNAATAATAAGTTACCAACACGTTGGGAGAAATGTATTGAGAGTATGGGAAATTATTTTGATTAAAGAACATTGCTTTAAAGTAACTAGTTTCTTTTTTTTTTGTTTAATACCAAAATCCTGCATTACTTTCCGGACAACCCAATATGTACTGTAAAAGCGAACTGCGCCATTTTCAGTATTTTATGAGCTACAGATTAATAAGCACTATCTTAATTCGAATTATTATTATCAAAAATTATTCACGATTCGAGTACGAAAAATATATGTATGAAAGGCACAGCCTTTACCCTGTTTTTTCGCTTTACTCGCTTACCTATGTGTCTGCCTGTCTGGTTATCTGTCTGTCGTCTGTCCGTTTTTTTCACTCTTTCCCTCTTTCTCTTACTCTCTCTCTGTGTCTCTCTCAGACTCTCTCTCTTTCTTTGCTCTCGTTCTTCCACCCTTTCTTTCTCTAAACACACTCTCTCTCGCTCTCCTTATTTTTCTCTTTATATTTTTGCTCTCTCCTTCTCCTCTTTTATTTTCTTTCTCTCTGTATCTTTCCTTTTGACAGACTCTCTCTCTCTCTCTCTCTTTCTCTCTCTCTTTCCTTGCTCTCGTTCTCCCATCATTTCACTCTCGAAACATACTCTCTTTATTACATTTTTGCTCTCTTTCACTGTCTCTCCCTCTCTCCTCTCTCTTTTTCTTTCTCCTCTCTCTTTCCTCTTTTATTTTATTTTACTCTCCGTATCTTTTCTTTTTTCAGTCTCTCTTCCTCTTACGCTCTCCCTCTCTCTTACTCTCCCTCCTCTCTTTTTTCTTTCTCCTTTCAGTCTCTCTCTCTCTCTCTTTCTTTGCTCTAGATCTCCCACCCGTTCTCTCTAAACACACTCTCTCACTTTCTTTATTTTTCTCTTTATATTTTTGCTCTCTCTCTCTCTCTCTCTCTCTCTCTCTCTCTCTCTCTCTCTCTCTCTCTCCTCCTTTCTCATACTATGTTTTTGAGTTTCTCGCCTCCCTCACTTTCACTTGTATTGTCTCCCCCAAACATTCATGTTTGTTCTACTAATGTTTACCTCTCTAACTCCCTAACCACCTCTGTCAGTAAAACACACACACAGAGAGAGAGAGAGAGAGAGAGTCTCTCTCTCTCTCTCTCTCTCTCTCTCTCTCTCTCTCTCTCTCTCTCTCCCTTTCTCTCTTTCTATCTCATTCTGTCCTACGTGAATAATATATTGGTTTCCGTTATTGTGATGATGTTTTTCCCAATAGTCTTTACTACACTTTCATGACCAGATTGTCTCTACATACTGAAATTGTATTACGTTTTGTAATGTAGAAATGAGTTTTTATTTTTTATTTTATTATTATTATGTTTTGATTTATTAATTTTTTAAAAACATATTTATGAAATGTAATCCACGTTGTATGTAAGAGAGAATTCATGAGATCTAATTGTGAAGAGGAAATCAAATTGTTATATCATATCTTTCTCTCTCTCTCTCATTCAGTCCTCTTTTTCTATCTATTTCATCGTATTTTTTCTTTTCACTCATGCTAACCCTCTCACATTATCACAATTCCCCCATTTCATGTCATCATCTCTCTCTTCAATCTCTATATTTGTATCAACAAGTTCAATTTCTTTCACACAGACTCTCTCTTCATATTACATAGGTACATCATATATATTATCAATTTTTTTTTCTTATTAACACTTCAACCCTACTCAAATTTTTATATCGTGTGTCATCAAAAATCTGGTAAGTCGTCAACATCGCATCATGGAAATTTCAGTCAAAATGTTCAGCTAATGTTACTAAGATCTGCAAACGGTTAACGTCAAGTGGCTCCGGGCGCGTTCAAGACAGTAACACGACCATATAAATCTCACTTGCATCGAACAATGTCGGCCATCAGCGTCGGTTGTTTTCCGACTGACTTAACGTCAATAGTCTTAACTACTCGATATTGTGAGGAGGCCGTGCCCACCCCAACCGGCCCACTTTCCTTTCCGACGGCTCCTGAGTGTACTCAATGAGCCCCTGATTACTAATCACTACTTTATCCACTAACGGAGGGGGGCAAGTGGGCTTAAAATAACACCCGGAGTGAAGAGAACCCCCTGCTATCTCTCATAATCACTACCAGATTAGATGAATGTTTTAAATCCTTAACAAACCTATAAGTACACGTATAATATTTTAAAACTAAAATATTTAGTTAAATTATAATTTATAGATTTATTGAGTTGTAACGTACGAAGTCTCAATGACATCTTAAAAATAATTTTTATTACGTTCATTTTTCGATTTTTTAGATTACTATTCTCACGTTTGTGAGATCAGCTATATTATTTAAATTCAAATTTTCATATTCATTTTGCTTTGACTGTCAAGAATTTCGAACACCCAATTATGTTTAATAATAATTTTTAAATAGGACTTGTACTTACATAGGTAGAGATGCCCAATAAACCAATAATGGTCAGGGTGCACACGTCATAAAGAGGCCTGTTCCTACATAATCTAAAGTAGGTAGAGATTATTGGCTTAATGACAATTTAATGTTGTGTAATTTGTCCTTTTACAAGAGTGCCTGTTTCTGACAGCCTATTTTGAAAATTTCCAGCGAGACCTGTGCGATGTGACTGGCAAGTCATATTTACCCTTATTTTTGTCTTTATAACAGGGTTACGACATTTGGTATAATCAATATTTTGTCACAGGCATTTCATTTTTTAGGATAAATGGGCATTTTCAAGTGTAAGCGAATTGCAAGCCCTGAAATTGTCGGTGTTGTCGTAAATGAAAATCCTGAGTACACATAATTTGGCACTAATGGATATGAATGAAAACATAGTTTTACAAGCTAATTTTTTATAAACATATTGTGACCGGAAGTATGGTGCGCTAATTAGCCAGTTTTCGACCCTTCTTATTCGGAAGGTTTTCGAGACTTTTTAGTCTATCAAATATAATATATTTTGTTTGATTGTAGATAAGTACGTCTTTTTTCAAGCTTCCCTCACAAGTTAAAAAAACAGACGAGAAAAAAGGACACAAGAAAATATACTAACTATAAAAACAAAACATAACTAAATATAAAAACTATAACCTTATTTTTATTCATTAGATTTCGAGGTCCGATTGAAGAAATAACATCTTTCAATTAATTAATCTTTATGTAAGTTATTGGCTGAGATAAAAAAGTCAAAGGCCCGAGCGGGATTCGAACCCACAACCTTCGGCTAAATACGCCGCTGCTCTACCACTTGAGCTATCGTGACTTCGATCCATTCGGACACCAACTCCCCATCTCAACCTACAACCTTTCGAGTTTTCCTCGGAATCGGACACTAAAATGAAAAATGGCAAAAAGGAGAGACAATTCGAAAGGTTGGGTTGAGGTGGGTAGTTTAGAACCCCTATTCTACACGGCCGAGTTCAACTTAAAAACCTCGCAGCGCATTTTAAAAAGCCCACGCAGCTCAACAAAGAGTAACCTTTAAAAGTTCTTCAGATCGAACAACGTTGGAGGACCACTTAACTCTATATACAGGGTGAATTGCTACTCGTGCTACAAACTTCTCCAGTAGATTCTTCACCCTAAAATGAACAAAAAAGTTCATATTGTCCATGGTCCGATTCNGAATCGGACCATGGACAATATGAACTTTTTTGTTCATTTTAGGGTGAAGAATCTACTGGAGAAGTTTGTAGCACGAGTAGCAATTCACCCTGTATAATAAAAGGTGCGCCAAGCTCATGACACGACCAGCACATTCACTGCAGTGTTGGGAATTAATCCGAGTGAAGAGAGCCGAAAATAGGGTGCTCTAGTTAGTGATATTTTCCAATGACAGGAAGAAGCCAATATCGTATTTCGCGAACTGTGATTTCCAGGCAGAGAACCAAGAAATCTCTGATGGAAGTACACTGACAGGCAAAAAATCCCAC